GGGGGGGAAGGCCTACGGGGGGGTTACGAGCTAGCCAACGCATCCCCAGGACCTCCGGAGCCTCCAAAAAGCTCCAAGAGGGTCCAGACAGCAGAGCGCCAAGACAGTCGAAGAGAGCGCCGAGACGGCCAAGAGTAGCCCCACGACGACCCAAGATGACTTCAAGACGGCCCACAGGGCCCCCAAGACGGCCCGAGTGTTCCCAGAGGACCGCCGAGAAGGCCCTGAGAGGCAAACATGTTCCCATTCCCGTCGGAAAACATATGTTTTAGCACACTCGTCTCTTTCGTCTTGACAGCTTCTAAACTGCCCAGGGGACCCCAAAGACCGTCACAACAGGGGTGATGAGGCATCCAAGAGGGCCCCGAGACTGCCCAATAGAACCCCAAGAGAGCCCAAGAGGGGGAATACGAACTGATATGTCGAGGCTTTCCCCGCAAGACGGCCCCAAGAGCTCCCCGTCCCCGAGGCACCCCTAAGAAGCCCCACGAGGCCTCCAAGACGCCCCCAAGAAACCCGCAGGAAGCCCTCAAGAGGCCCCAGCCAGCCTCCCAGATGCACCCAAGAGCGCTCCAAGAGGCCCCTGAGAGGCATCCCAAGAGACCCTCAGATCTATCGAAGATGCCCCAGACCCACAGCCTAGGCACGGTGGCAGGTTGGGCCAAAGGCCACTAAAGAACTTCCACGATCGTCGCAAGCTCTCTGACTCCTTCTGAGGGTGGGCGGAATGGCGTAAGCCACTTGAATGCCTTCAAAGACGGACCCAAGGCTTAAAGGCACCGAAACGGCCCCATACAGGTCAAGGTTCTTGGTCACCGAAACCCGAAGAGATCCCCAAGAGAGATCCGAGGAGAACCCCGCGACGACCCTGGGAGCCGCATGGGAGCATCCACGCAATTGCAAGGAGCCTCAAGAGGAGCTCAGACCAGCAGCACGTATCAGCAGGCCACCGTCTGCTGTTTAGGGATCGGCGGCCTGGCGTAAGCCTATACGATTAACCCCTCATACCCCTGATAATAAACCCCCTGGGGATAATAAAATTCGGGGTCTGGGGGGATAACAAACGTTTTCCCCAGCGGAGGAAGATGGTGATGAAGTTTTTTTTTTTTTTTTTTTTTTTTTTTTTTTTTTTTTTTTTTTTTTTTTTTTTTTTTTTTTTTTTTTTTTTTTTTTTTTTTCCATGCTCGGGCCATACGCACGCGGCTCTGGCCAGTCACCCTCCAGGTGGGGTGGCCCGACGGTGCCTGGGCGCGCCGAATGGCGGGGACCCAGGACAGAGACCGTCAGGCGGGTTGCCCCTCGCAAGCACGCAGCACTGCCGAGATGGCGGTGGGGCTTGGACGGGGGCCTAGTCCGACTCGTCCTCGCCGAAACCCACAGGAGGGATGAGCGGTTCCCCACCCTCCACTTGGCGCCTGCTGGAGTGCTGCTGGCGCGCTCGTCCTGCCTCGGACCGCTGTGGGCGAGGCGCAGGGCGTGGGGTCGGCTGGCTCGGGAGCGGCATCGCAGCGCGCGCTGCTGCTATCTCTCTCTGCGCGCGCTGCTGCCTTTGAATTTCTGCGGTATTGTACCGCTCGGACTCTGAAGCAAAAAGGCGCAATGTGGGATGCTTGCCATCCAATAGACGATTTCTCACATTCGCACGTCCGCCACTCTTGGGAGGCCGTCCAGGACAGGTGGCGGGCAAACCTCTGAAAGCATACTGGGCATAGCGCCCACAGACTAAACAAAAGACAACTGGCACGGCAAAATGCGCGATTGCCATCTGGTGGCTGGCATGGATAGCTTCTAGGCCGCGCCTGAATGCGCTGGCCAGTGGCTGGCATGCCTGCCTCTCACGTGCGACAGCGGCCTTATAGGATCGGGCGTACGTAAAACATGCTCTGCACCTGTACGGTATCGGCCCCTGAAGAACCTCCCAGTCGTGCACGACGATGGTGGCCTGAACCTTACAGGGCAGAGCGGCTCTCTCGCTCTTGTGCCTATTGCGCTGGCACAAGGCAAGAACTCTGGGTGCATATAAACCAATCGCTCGAGCGGCCTCGATCTTGCGTTGCAGCTCCTGCAGCGCTGTCGGGTTGAAGCTTGGGTGACAGTCCACGGCCACCTTCGCCATCTTGTCCGCTGCAGCATTGATCTCCGCAGCAAGTCTGGCCTCTCCAGCCAATGAATGCATATCCTGATGGCTCTTGACCTTAGAGGCCGCCTCGAGATGATGTCTGCTGTCCCGCGCAAGCGCAAGCTTGTGCAGGCCTGAATACTTAAGCTTACTGCTGAGACGTGTCGGCAGTGGCCTAGCGTGCAGGTCGAGGACCGCTTTGCAGTCCACCCAGGTCTTCGAGGGTTTGGCGAGGGCCTCCTGGAGAACCAGGAAGCCCATGTGCTCCCCAGCCTGAGAAGTCTGGGGAAGGTTCGCAGCAACAGCGCCATAAAAAGGAGGCCTCTGGGGCCCCGTCGGTACTGTAAGCCACTACCGAGAACGTCGCTCTGTCTAGCTCCGCTATGCCTGTCTTGGTGCACGACCCGTCGGTTCCCGTGAGCCCCCCGAAGTGCGGTACCGTGTCTGGCTGACCGTCGTGTCTGACGAATCGAACGATGGGCTTCTCTCTGGGCAGCGGAAAATCATCATGCTGTTCCCCTGGGTGCTCGAAGAGACCGAAGCAGTACAGGGGGCTATTCTCTGGCGCCTCCAGCGCGGCCTGCAGCGCGTCTGGCGGCAGCAGCTCGGTCCTGAGGGCAACTACCTCTGGATGCTGACAAGAAAAGAGACGATGGTGTATGGTGTCCCCGAAGACTTTACAGAGCGGGCACTCGTTAGGCACGTCGTAGCCTAGCTGAGCGAGTTTTTCTTCGGTCCACCATCCCTGGACCACAAGGGTTTGGAGAATGGCCTTAAACCTGGGGGGGAGCTTCTTGCTTTGGGGGGAAAGCAAGGCACGAACAACGTCAAAACACACCCTCTTCATGGGGGTTGGGCTGGGTATGCTCTTAGCTGCAATCGTTTCCCATCTCCTCTGGCATCCTCGGTGCAGCAAGTCGGAAAGCAGGCTCGGCGAGGTGTCAGTGAGCCTGACCGTCCTGCCAAAGTGGTCCTGCAGCGTGAAAGCGGATGTGAAACTCCAGCCAATTCGGTGAAGCGCATGGGCCGCCGCACTGAGTGGTCCTCGCACGGCGTTATAACACAATTGTCCTGTTGGCTGCACGTTGTTATAAATCTGCTTGAGCTCGAGAAGTCCGAGGGTCCCTGGGGTCACGTATTTGCCAAGGGTGGTGTTCCACACTTCCTGGGCCCACCTGGGGGCAGGCCCTAAGGCCCAACGGTCGGCCCTGGACCCCGTGAGGGCGAAGGCCGCACTCCTGGATTTCTTGGAGGAGCAAGGGGTAATTTGCGCAATCTCCAGAGACTGCAGCATATACAAGGACTTGTTGCTGAGGCCGTCAACGGCGGCCCCGAAGGCCCCAGCTGGGAGGAGCCCAGTGGTGACAATCTTGCGACATCTTTGGCCAGCGGTAGCAGTTAGCTTACGCAGGCGTTGCCCTCTGACCACCGCGGTCCTGGGCCTGACCGTGCGCTTGGCGGCAGCGCCGTTGCAACCGAAAGGCTTACCAGCAGTAAAATCGCAACCTAAGTTAGTGGCGACCGCTTGGAGCTTGCCCCCCGAGGCCCCAAGGGCCGACGTGAGGAGCCTGGCTAACGACACCGACGACGCAACGACCGCTCCTTTGTGAACCGCTATCCTGGCTTCTAGGTCTATCTCGATGAGACGGGCAAGCTCCTTGGCGGCACTGACAACACGCTTGAGCACCCTGACCGTGGTGCCGTGACAGGTGATGGACAGGTCATCCAAATAGAAATCGAAATAGACAGCCGAGTGCAGCGAAGTAATTCGCAGGAAAGCGTCAAAACAATAGATCCTGACATAAAGGATGCAGAAAGAACAGCCCGCCACTATGCCGTTGGTGGCCGCTATAGGCTGAGCCACACAGCGCTTCCACGCTATGTGCCTCCACGAGCCGTAACCTGCAAGGTGATATGCGAGCAGAGTCTCAGGAAAACCTAATGCGAGCGCTCGAGCCCGCAATTTGTTGCGCTTGAAGCGCTCGAAGAAAGCCTCCATATCCCAGAGAACACCAGCAGAGGCCCCTCCGCCCGAGACGGCCCCTTCAGCTCTGAGACTCTGCCGCCATACCACGTCGACTGGTGATCTGCCTGCGCCGCAGGCAAACCAAGAGTAGTCGTGCTTAGCTATCCAGTCCTGGGCGAAATGCAAGCGCAGCTTGCCTGTGATTCTGTACATCATGGGAAAGATGCCGATGGGCCTGTAGCCGCCAGTGACTTTGCGGAGGAGCGCCACGAGGACCCACTGGAGCTGCCAGATGGTGATGAAGATGGTGATGAAGATGGCTCTGCCTGCTCAAAAACGCATTGTTATTTCAAAATCCAATCGGTCCCCGTGGCCCTGCCACACGTTCCTGACTCAGGGAAGGCTGAGAAAGTGAGAATCCCATGGCCCTGCCGCACGTTCGCGACTTGGGAAAGTTGAAATGGTGAGAATCCCATAGCCTTGCCACACGCTCGCTGCGGAAAGCTGAAATGGTGAGACCTCCATTGCCATGCTCAGCGTTTTTTGGATGATGCTGCTAGTCAACATAAGAGGATAGCAATTCCGATTCGCAATTTTCCCCCTGCGATAATCAAATTCGGCATCGCCGCCCCTCTCCACAATCAAATCTGTCTGACCCGGGGATAATAACCACTCAAGGGTTAAGGGGGGGGATTTTTATTATCCGGGGAACGGGGTGAATCACCCAAACCCCTGACCGATCTCCGTTCGTGCTCAATCCATTCTGCCGAATTCAGACATTCTGACTGACTGCCACGTAGATCCCGCAACGCCCTGCTACACTTGCTTTGTTCCGAGACGCTGCGCGTCGGCCTTGGGCTGGCCACCGTGCAGTCCCGTACGCCCCGACAGGATCTCGGGCTCACGCAGGCCGCCTCAGCGAGCAGTGGTGTCGCACTCGTAGGAGAAGCTCCCGACGTAGCCATGAACGTTCGTGCCGGTCATGTCGTACACCTTGCAGTCAGTCGCCGTGTACTCGTTGGTGGGGTGCACGTAGGTCTCGGCCTTGTAGTCGTGGCGGTCGCAGCTCATGCGGGAGATGCTAAACTTGCCCGGGCCGCAGATCTTCAGCTTGGTCACGGGGAACGAGCTGGTGTCCACGCCGGCCGAGACGCACTGGCCCGGCACAGTCGCCTCTGAAGGCCTCCCTAACGGGGCCCCAGCAGATGGGGTCGGAGGGTCGCACCGCATCGCCGACGCATCGGCGATGCATCGGCGAGGTCGGGGTGGACCGAATCATGCTCCAGATCGGTCCGCATCGCCAACGCTCTGGCGATGCGGCGCGATCCTCCGACCCCACCCTGAGACGAAGCCAGGACCAGGATAACATCGAACGCGGAGAAAGCGGGGATCTCTGAGATCCGCGGGCGCCTCAGCCGTTCCAGAGCGCTTAAGAACGCTCTGAGAACGCTCTGAGAACGATGTTGTCCCTGTCCCGGGCCCGCTCGACTCTGGCCCCATTCGGGCGGCGCGGTCGCCTTGCAGGGCGGCATCCACTGCTCGGTCCCAGCCGCATCGACGCTGAGCGCCACCTCGATCGAGGTCGACGGGCACGTGCCCTCGGAGCTGGCCTTTAGCAGGGCGGCGTGGCCGGCGGGGGCAAGGGCCAACAGCAGGACGGCGACGGCGCGGGTCGCTGCCATGGCTCGGGCTCGGGGTGGCGGGCCGGGGAGCTTCGTTGTCCAGAGAGCGGCGCGGCTCGAGGCGAAGAGGCTGAAGGATCTCGAGGCGGCGTGCCTCATGTGCCGACGATGGCCAGGACCCAGGGGAGTCGAACCAGCGGCGGCTCCCCACTCGTACCCTCATTGCTGGTGGCTCGCATCACGTACTGGTCCTCGTCTACAGTCCGTGCCCACTTCCTTCCCTCTGCCGCTCCAGATCCCAGCACCTCCCGCGTCGGACTCCCAAGGAGCATTCATTCCGCAGCTTCGTGTCACGCGAGCCTTGGCTCGAGAATATGTGCATTGGTCTTGCGCTGACCGCAGCGCAGTCGGGTGACCCAACTTGGGAAGCGTCGCGACAAATCATCCCACCAGCCCTCTCGGCGTGAGAGGCCTCAAGAGCTTGGTCTGCGAACCCCCTCCTTTCCCCTCGGGGATAGGGCCCCCCCTTCACCCTACACCCTCCCCCTGGAGGGTTGGTCTTAAGCGTGAATTGAATTCATATATTCAGTGTGCTTGTTACGCAATGCTGTGTTTACGCAATGTTTGTTTTACGGTGTGGTTGTTACATAAAATTGTTTATACGCAGCGCTGTTTACGCAATTCGTTTGCACAGTGATTTGTTTACGCTGTTTGTTTTGCAATCATGTTTTGTTGTGCGCAATGTTTTAACTCACTGTGTTTAACTCAATGTGTTGACACACCGTGTGTTTGTTACCGCCATATTGTTTACACAATGATGTTACGCAATGTTGTTTACGCAATATGTGTTACGCAATGTTTTTGAACGCAATGTTTTTTAACGCAATGGTTTTGTAACGCAACATGTTTTAATGCAGTGTTGTGTTGTAACGCGATGCTTGTTACGCAATGGCTTTACATAATTGTTGTACGCAGTGCTTTGTTACGCAGTGTTCTGGACACAATATTTGTCGCGCAGTGGTTTTCGTACGCGGCGTTTTGTTGCTCACGCAATGTTTTTAGCGTTGTTGCTCACACAATGTTTTCGTTTACGCAGTGTTGTTCTTACGCAGTGTTCTTACGCAGATGCCACTACGCAAGAAACCCTACGCAGGAAACGCTACGCAAGCAACACTACACAAGACAACCCCTGCAAAACACACTAGGCGGGAAATACTACGCACGAAACGCTACACAAAAGAACACTGCGTGGGTAACACTACGTGATAGATACCACTCAGGACACACTAAGCAGGGCACACTACACAAGAACCACGACGCAACAAACACTACGCAGGAAACACTGCAGAGGAAACAACACGCAAGAAACGATACGCCAGAAGCATTACGCAAGAACCACTATGCAGGAAAACACAACACTGGAGGCACTGCATGGGAAACACTACGCAGGAAGCAACACGAATGAAACACTACGCACGAAACGCTACGCAGGAAGCAATCCACAAGGAACACCACGCAAGAAACAACACGCAAGACACAGTACGCAAGAAACACTACGCTGGAACCCCTGCGCAAGAAACAAAGCGCAGGGAACAATGCGCAAGACACACTACAACAGAAACACTACGCAACAAACAAACTACACAAGAAACGCGCTACGTAAAAACACACACACACACAAACACACACACCTACACACACACTACACTACGCCAAAAAAACACTACGCAAGACCGCCTACGCAGGAAACGCTACATAAGAAACACTACGCAGGACACACAACGCAAGAACCACTACGCAAAATCGCTAAGCAGGGGAACACCACGCAAGACACACACAGCAGAAACCACAGTTCGTAAACAACACGCTGCGTAAAAACACTACGTAGAACGCACCACTTAAAAAAACTAGGTAACAACATAAATGTGTTCAACATATGCGTAAAACATTGTACACTACGCAAGAAACGCAACACCGATAACACTACGCAAGAAGCACTACGCAAGGAAAACACTACGTACAAAACACTGCGTAAAACACACTACGAAAACCACAATACGTAAACCACAGTACGAAAAAACACACCGCGACCAAAAACACACACGACGTAAACAAATCACTGCGTAAACAACACTGCGTAACCAACAAACTGCGTAAACAAACACTGCGTAAAACAACGCGGCGCAAACAACCACTACACTGCGCAGGAAACGCTACGCAGGAAGCACAACGCAAATATACTACGCAGGAAATACTATGCAAGATACAGTACGCAGGAAACCCCGCGCAGGAAACACTACGCAGGAACCACTACGCAGGAAACACAACGCAGACACACAACGCAAGAAGCACCACGCAGGAAACACTACAGGAAACACCACGCAGGAAACACTACGCAGGACACACTACGCAAGAAACACAACGCAGGAAACACTACGCAGGAAGCACACTGCGTAAAAAAAAACATTGCGTAAACAAAACATACAAAACAACACTTCGTACAAAAAACACTGCATACAAACACTGTATACAAAACACTACGCACGAAACAATACGCAGGAAATGTGACGCAGGAAACACTACGCAGGAACCACTATACACGACACACATTACTACATGAAATTCCTGGTTAATAAGACAAGTGCGCAACGAACACTACGTACACAAAAAACACTGCGTCAACAAAACACGGCGTGAAAACAATGCGTAGGAAACACCAGGCAGGAAGCGCTACACTGGAAGCAGCACGCAGGAAACAACACGCACGAAACACTACGCAGGAAACACTATGCAGCAAACACTACACAGGAAACAATACGTAGGAAACACGACGCAGGAAACACTACGCAGGAAACGCTACAGAGGAAGCACTACGCAGGAACCGATACGCACGAAGCACTACGCAGGGAACACTGCGCAGGAAACACTACAGACCAAAGACACTACATAGGACACACTTCGCAGGAAACAAGACGAAAGAAACATTACGCAAGAGCCGCTACGCAAGAAACACTGCACGGGGAACACTACGCAAGAAACAATACAAACAAAAAAACGTACGCAGAAAAACAAACGCCGGAAACGCATGAAACAGTACGCAGGAACCACTACACAGGAAACACTACGCAGGAAACACTACGCAGGAAACACTACGCAGGAAGCACTACGCAGGAAACACTACGCAGGAAACGCTACGCAGGAAGCAGGAAACACCACGCAGGAAACACTACGCGTAGAGGGCACTACGCAGGAAACACTACGCCACGCAACACAACGCAGGAAACACTACGCAGGCGCAGCAAAAAGCGCGCAGGAAACACTACGAGTAGGAACACTACGCGTAGAAATCATCACGCGTCGGCAACACTTCGCGCAAGAAACACGACGCGCAAGAAACACTGAGCGTAGAACACAATACGCAAACACAAACACTACGTAAACACACATTACGGAACAAACACATCACACACAGTACGTAAAAGCACACACACACACACCACTTAACAAACAACTGCGTAACAGCAAACACTACCCAATTTGTTATTTTCACGATTGGGATTTCGATTTCACTATTAAAAGAACCCTTGGTCCCCCTGGGTCTGGCCCCCCCCCATGCGAGGGTGCCAGGCGTATTGGCCCCAGGTGGCCCCAAGAAAGCCCCCCAAAAAACCAAATGGCCTCGAAGATCGTTCAAGATATCTCAAAAAGGGGTTCAGGATACGAGCCTGCGGCATGCCTCCAAAAGCCATCGAAATCGTCCAAAGCCCTCAAGATCGCCCCAGGACGGCCCCTGACTGCCCTCCGATTCTCCCAAGGAGGCCCCCAGGAAACCCAAAGCCATTGAACATTTTCAGTGTGCTGTGCCTTGTCGCCTTGTCTCTTCCGATGGGCTCCTGGGGTCTCAAGGTGGTTCCAAGATGGCCTAAGATGTCCCCAAGAAAGGGGCCCAATAAGATCTCAAGGCGGCACCAAGAGCGCCCAAGATCGCCCCAGGCGGGCCCAATAGGCACATTTTCGGGCCCTGACGGAAAGGGCCGTACTTGTTCCAAAATGGCACCAAGAGGGCCCCAAGGCCTCGAAGAATCCCCAAGAGAGCTTCAACTGGGCCCCAAGGGGGCCTACGAGGCCTCTCAAATGGCCCCAAGAGGACCCCACAATGTCCCCAAGAGGCTTGCAAGAGCTCCCAGAGCGAAAGATCGCAAAGGTCTTGATAACTACGAACTCCTGTCGTCGTCGTCGTCGTCGTCGTTGTCATCGTCGTCGTCGGCGGCCCTGGCACGCACGACCTAACGCAAACCCCGCAAAGCAACGGCAGGCAACCGCTCAACCCAGACAACCACGAGGAGCCACGAAATGTCCGCATCGACGCATAAGGCACTCATCACACGCAGGGGAGCCTGTGGCTGCTGTGGTTGAGTGGTTGCCTGTCGTCGCTCCCTGCGTGGATCCCCCTCGTAGTCGTAACCGACTCGTCGTAGTCGTAATCGTAGTCCTGGTCGTCAGCATCGCACTCGTCGTCCTGCTACACATCCCTCATCAAGGTCACTCGCTTGGCGTATATTGTTGGATGGGCTGGTGGGGCTACTTTTTCTTTCGCGAGCGACGCGGAGCAACCGCGCGCCGTCAGAGAGCGAAACAACAGCACCACGATCTCAATTAGGCACTAAGCGCGCAGGCTCGAACTACGCTGCGACTCAGTAGGCGAAGAGGACGCTGAGGATCAGGTTCGCGTGGAACGCCACTGCCGACAAAGAAGACCAGGATTGGAGGTGCACCAGGTCTGCGTGCAGCGCCAAAATGGTGAAGTAAGTCTCCCTGGTTCCCGAAGACCACCACCGCGTAGTCGAGGGGGACGATGACCAGTGTCACGTAGTCGAGGAGGGCGAACCATGGAGGCGCTCAGCGGAAAAATCCGGATCGCCGAGAGGGGGTCGTGAGACCGCGAGGGCGATGATGGCGGACATCCGTGCGGGGGGGCACGACGGCGGGGGGCGCGGCCAAGAAGCTGGTGGGGCTACGCGAAACATGAGAATTGTTTTTGGGGATCATCCGCCCCGTCTCGACCGAAGCTGATCAATCCCTTCGGCCACGACAGCGTGGCCAACTAGCATGGCAGCGTGCAGCAACATGTTTCCGGGCAGGCAGGCAAACAACTAAACAGCCGATCTTGGAAACGGCCGGGGTGTCTGTGCTGGATTGGAAACGCACAGAAAATCTGTCGAGTCCGTTCGGAGTCGTTCCCGGAACCCCTCCCAGGGTCGAAACTGACAAATCCCCCCCTCCTGCCGGCCAGAGCCAATGCTTGGCCACCTCAGCCCCCCCCCCCAGGCGTCTCCAAAGCCGATCTGCCGTAGGCACGCTCATGCGATGAGCAGTGGCCAGGCCCCTCTGAGGATGCCGCTGCAGGGGCGAGCGCCGACGCGGGTGCGATGAACCTGGCGATGGTGGCGAGCAGACCCCCGACTCTGGTTACCACATGCCTGCTTCGCAGACCTGGCGTGCCACCCGCAGGCGCGCCAGAGCTAGGAGACTGATTTCTGAATTCAAAAACTGGTTTTTGAATTCAAACAACTGGTTTATGTTTTAATTCAAAAACCAATATCCTGGCACTGCTTTTTTTCTGAATTCAAGAACCCGCCCCAGGCACGATGGCAAGACCTCCAGCTTCCTCGGCACCCTGACGCAGAGCACGTCGTTGAACATCTTCCTGTGGTACTCCAGCTTGGCGGAGTCCTCCAGGCGGAGAGCGGCGACGAGCGCCTGGGTGCGCCTGGGTGCGCCAAGGTTAAGTCGGGCGTGTCCCCCATACAGGGGGATTTTCGACGATAAATAAAAAGTGCCCTTAAAATGCTCCAAAATGGAACAAAAATACTCAAAAATAGTCACCATACTCTTGTTTGACTATTTTTGAATATTCCCCCCTGTAGAGGGACAGGCCCGGACTTAACGCCAAGGTGTCGAGGAAAGCGCCCGGCGGCGGGGCGGAAACGGGCTGGCACGCGGCAGAATCCGTCCCCCCCCCTCTCCCCATCCCCCCCCTTTCGCCCGACCCGACCCTTCCGCAAGACAGCTGGAGAACATCCGCCTCGACGCCTCCGTGTATGCTCGAGCTGGGTGCGGGAGAAGACGCCGACTTCGGCCGCTGTTGGAGAGGCGCCCTCGTGTCTCAGAAGGACAGCGCTCGCGGCGACACCGACAGCGAGTCCTGTTCAAACATTGCAGGGGCTGCTGTCGGTGTCCGCACCCACCTTGGAGACCCATCCACGCCAAAAACCAAGGGACGAGTTCTGGGGTCTCCGGGTTGGGCTTCTTATGAAGGTTTCTTGTGGTCGGGCCTCCACTGCATTCTCTCCGTATCCATGTCGATCGAACCGAGCCTCGAGCCTCCAGCGGTCTTGAAGACGGGGGCCCCCCGAGCCGGTGCAGCGACAGACCGGGCGGTGACCTCAGACAGTCCCCGGAGACCTCACCGCACGGTCCGCCACCGCGCGGTGTTGGGGGATCCTAGGAGCCCCCCGCCGCGCGATACGTCCTCGGAGAGAACGGCCCGAGTCCCAAAATCGGGGAGACATAAGACTCGGGTACGGGGGACTCGGGTTGGCTTGACGGGGCCATCATAAAAATGACGAGACCCAATCTGAAATTAGACGACAGCTGCCGCTGCAAACATCCTACGAAAACTGGACCGTCGAAATCTATGACGCGCTCGTCAAAAAACGTCGGACAAACCCGAGTTCTGGCTTACTTGAGTCTTACGTTTCCCCGACAAAAACTTGTGGTCACCCCGCATCCCCTCCGACTCACCACACGGTGCGGTCACCCCGCCCGTCTGGGGGCCACGGAGGGGAGGCCTTCGATGGGGCTCCATTTTGCGCACTCGGCCACGGAGGAGAGGCAGGGGGGGAAGGGAGGAAGAAGGGAGGGAGGGGGAGGAGGGGAAGACTTTCACCGCGGAGCGTACGACACCAGTCTATGACGACCGCCTCGATGGTGGACGTGGAACTAGGAAGCTGTCAGTGGAGATCAACGCGCCCAACAAGGCGTAGAAATACCCACAGCAGGCGCACACCGACGACGCCTTCTTGCAGAACGAGGCACCTCGAACTCGCAGACCTTGGACTCCAGTCGCTGGCGCTGGAGCGACCAAGGGAGAACCATAGACAGCCGCCACCCAGAACCCAGCCGGGGAACCCGCTCCTGGGCGGTGGTGCGCACGGGCGTCGCCCATCGCTGGGTGACGCTAGGGCGTGCCGCCGCGAAGGGGTCGGTCTCCCCACGATGGGTTATCGGTGGCGGTGGTCTCTGTTGCTACTGGAAGAGGGGGGGAAAGGGGGGAGAAGCCCCTCCCCCTCTTGAGGGCCGCTCATAGAAGAAGACATAGCGGCATCAACACAAAATGTTATTGCTCCGCGCGGATTTCATGGATCTGCGCTGACCCCCCCGCTTCCCTGGCGCGCGGAGCGCGCCGGGGGCGGCGCTGGAGGCGCCGCTGGGGGGCCCCAGCGCGGATCCAAGAACTCCGCGCGGAGCGGAGCACCAAAAGTTTGTGCTCATGCCGTTATCTCTTCTTCAAGCTTAGACCCTGAGATCCGATGCCGTGATTTTTTCCGTACGGGGTCCCCGGAAGTCTCGACCCATCCCCCAGGACCGGTTCTCCATCCCGAGTCGTTTCTTGACGGCCCCGAGGCCCCGCGAGGGCCCCGCGAGGGCCCCTAGGGGCCGAACTCTACGAAAACCTCCGCCTTGATCCCTTCAATGCCTTGGATGTCTGGGGAAGCGTGCCGACACCAAGGCCCCTCCCTCGTTCGGGAGCGGCCAAGAGGGGGTTTTCCAAGAGGGGGGGGCGCAAATCATGGCCGGCGGCACGTGCGCGGCCCAGGGGGGGGGGGCGGGGGACGTATTGAAACAAGAAGAGGCGCCATGACATGTGGGGAAATATCATGGCCCCCGCCATGATATCCACCCCTCCCTAGTCATCACCCCCCCCTTTGCCGCCCCCGACTCGTCTCGCCCGCGCGGGCCTCCCGGGGTGGGGCCCGCTCGTCGCCGCGGCCGGGCTCGCCCCGACAGCCTGGCCAGGGCACGCCCTGGGCGAGGGCCCGCGGAGCGGCGGCACCGGCCCACTGACGCGAGGGGAGGAGGAGGAGGAGGAGGAGGAGGAGGAGGAGGAGGAGGAGGAGGAGGAGGAGGAGGAGGAGAAGGAGGAGGAGGAAGAGGAGGAGGAGGAGTAGGAGGAGGCGGAGATAAGGAGGAGGAGGAGGAGGAGGAGGAGAAGGAGGAGGAGGGGAGAGACAATGGTCGGCGCTTGTCTGTCGGATGCGTTGTATGGGTGTCTGCGGTCGCTTCCTGAGTTTTTTTGTATCTCAGGATTTTCCAGAGGATGTGCAGCAGCAGATGGCAGCCGGTAGCAGCCCAGCTGGAAGCTGCCAAAGAAAGGCAGCATCGCCCATGCACGCTGATCTGTAGCGGCTAGCGTCCTTGTTCTCGTCGTCCTCGTCCTCACCGTGCGCCGTCGTCCTCGAGCGCCGTCGCCGTCGAGCGCAGTCGTTTGTCGAGCGTCGCCGTCTTCGTCGAACGTTGTCGGAGAATGTTTGTGCTTTTATTTCCGGTGCGTTACTGTCGTTGCCCGGGGTGAGGGGGGCTGGGTAACGGTAACGCCTGAGCGAAGTGGGGCGCGTCGGGACGGGGGTGCGCTGCGATCGCTATAGTATGCGCGCCAGCACCAGCATGTAGGGGGGGGTCCAACCCCCTCCCTCCTACGCACGATCGTTATCGTTACCCGGGGGAGGGGTGGGGAGGGGGGGTGGCCCAACTAACAACCGTTACGCGCCCGAAGACACAAAACAAACTTTCGTCGAGTAGCGTCGTCCCCAGACCCTCGCGACATCATGATTTGTTCACAACCTCGACCCCCAAAGGTCTCGGCCAATTCCCCGGGACTGGTGTTTCATCCCGAGTCATTGTTCAAAGCCCGGAGGCTCGGTGTGGGCCGCCGAAGCTGGGAATGGCGGAAACCGTGCGTCGTGAATGTCGAGAGGGTCTGTGGGGACACCAACAGGTTCCGATACCGCCACTCCCCGGACCTCTCCCGGGGTGCTTTCTGACCAGAACCTCGAGGCGAATCCAGCGGTGGCGACGAGGGCCTCCCAGAAGGCCCAAAAAGGGGAAAACGTACCTTTTCCTCCTCTGAGTCTGGGTCGAGCGTCGCCGTCGTCGAGCGTCGTCGTCGAGCGTCGTCGTCGAGCGTCGTGAGGCGCACCGCCCACGGGGCGGGGCGGGCAGGCGGTCCACGGCGGCGACCGGGGGCTCTGCCAGCGTCGTGGCCCGCTGCGCGGTGATGGCGCAGGACCTCCTGGGAGGGGGGGCCCTCCTGCATCGTCCAGGCGGGGGTCTCGCCCTCCCTCCTCCTCCTCCTCCTTTTCTCCTCCTCCTCCTCCTCCTCCTCCTTGTCCTCCTCTTCCTCCTCCTCCTCCTCCTCCTCCTCCTCCTTGTCCTCCTCTTCATCCTCCTCCTCCTTCTCCTCCTCCTCCTCTTCCTCCTCTCTTTCTCCTCCTCCTCCTCCTCCTCCTCCTCCTCCTCCTCTTCCTCCTTTTCCTCGTCCTATTTTGCCCTCATCTCCTCCTCCTCCTCCTCCTCGTCATCCCTCCTACTCCTCTTTCTTCCTTTTTGGAGGGCTCGAGGTGGCCAGACGGGGCGGTCAGGAACACGACGTGAGGAGTCTGAAGCGTCGAATTTCGACTGGGATCCCCCCAAAGCGACGGCAAACCTGAGTTCCCGCAAACTCGACATGTGCGCCTGGCCCCAGGGCGCCGAGTGGGGCCACTCCTGGCCTCCCTGGAAGGCCCGCGACGAAGCGCAGCATGATGAAAATCCGCAAACCCTGTCGGCGTGTGTGGGGTGTCTGTCCAGTCCCGTCGACGAGGAGCCTTCTTTCGTCCCCTCCTTCCCATCGTCCTCTCCTGTCGGGGGAGAGAGAGAGAGAGAGAGAGAGAGAGAGAGCACCCTTCCTAGTTCGGGGAACGGGTTCGCAGCTTGAGGGAATTCCATCCACGTCCAAAAGGGAAGCCCCTTCCCTCTTCCCCGGCGGGGGGGGCAGATTCGCATCGCCTGTGGGGGTCCTCCTCCCCCACGCCGGTCCTTTTCCGGAGCGCCAGTCCTCCTCGGGTCGTCCTCCCCAGGTGGGGAGGAGTCCTAGGGAGGGGAGGGGAATCAAATACGCATCCGTCCCTGGGGGTCCTCCTGCCCCTCCCCTCCCCTCTCCCACGCCGGTCCTCCTCCCCCAGGGCGGGGGTGGCCCAGGGGGGAGTCCTTTTCCTCCTCCTCCTCCTCCTCCTCCTCCTCCTCCTCCTCATCTCCGCCTCCTCCTTCTCCTCCTCCGCCTCCTGGTCGTCGTCGATGTCTTTCAGGGTCGGCGGCACCGGCCGTCAGGCCTTCACAACACAATACCCAGGGCCGCAGATGCCGTCAAATACTCCAGGATAACTTCTGGGAACTTCCCTCCTCCTGCTCCTCCTTTCCCACCTCATCCAAGACCGGCATCAGCTCAAAATCGATGCCCGAACCCTGGATCGGCTCCTGACGGTCCTGGGGCCTGAAACGGACCCCATACAGTCAACCCGTATCAGAAAGATGCACGAGAAGGATGCAAGGGCCTTGCAAGGCCATCTCGAAGCTTTGCGAGCGGGGCGCGGCCAGCGAAAGCGGCCAAGGATGGGCCGAAGGGGAAGGATGCAAGGGGAACCCTGGGAAGGTTTGTTGCCCATCCTTCCTATGACGAACGATCAACACGCATCCATACCCATAGGGGGGAAGGAATGAGCTATGGGTGCGTGTTGTCAGACGGGGATCCCCGCTCGAACGGGAGCCTCCCCAGGGGTTCGACAACCCGCACCCGTACCCATAGCCAGTCCTTCTCCCTCCGACCTTCCTATGGGTATGGGTGTGCGCTGTTCGTTCGTCATACTACAGTGGTGGCGCGCATCAAGAAACCATATGCTTTTCTTCAGGGTCTCCTGGGTTTCTTCGCTCCTCGCGATGCGCGGTGCCTTCCCGCAGCCGTTGAAGGAGCTGCTGCGTTCAGGGTGCTCCAGGTTTCCCCTCAGGTGCACCTCGCGCACGGGTTCTCAGGGCCCGGTTTCTTGCGAGGGTTTCTTGCGGCCGCGCCCGCACTGTATGCGCTTTGACTGTCGTCAAGGGCTCCCAGCTTCGCGCTTCGCGCTTCGCGCTTCGCGCTTCGCGCTTCGCGCTGCGCGAAGCGCGAAGTGCGAACACCTCCGCGCTCTCGCGCCGCCTCCCAGGGAAGAAGAGGAGGATGAGGAGGAATCGGAGCCGACGCGCGAAGCGCGAATGACTTCGCGCCCGCGAGGACGCGCCCTTGGTCGTCCGGGGGGGGGGGGTAAAACAGGGCTAGGATCGGGATAAATCGCTCCAGAGCGTTCCGGAGCGCTCTCAGAGCGTTCCGGAACGCTCTGGAGCGGCCGCGGCGCCCAATACATCCTCCAAACCCGCCGATTCTCAGAGATTTCGAGTTATCCCGATCCGATTTTGTCCCGTCCGCGAAGATCGGGACAAAATCGGATCGGGATAACTCGAAATCTCTGAGAATCGGCGGGTTTGGAGGATGTATTGGGCGCCGCGGCCGCTCCAGAGCGTTCCGGAACGCTCTGAGAGCGCTCCGGAACGCTCTGGAGCGATTTATCCCGATCCTAACCCTGTTTTAGCGTGGTAGACGCCCCCGAAGAAGGAATCAAGCAGGGCAAGGCTGTGGAAAAAAAACGCCCAGGGCCGTGGAGTAGACGCCACTTGTCCAGTCTGGGTGTTTGTTTTTCCCTCCCTTGGAGGCAGACCCCGAGGGCAGGGCAAGGCTGTGGATTTGGACGCCCGAAATGGGTACCGAAAAAGTGGGTACAATGCCCAACAGCACATGTTGTCCCAAACCAACAGCGGCCGCTGTTGGGCAGGCGGCCCTCTGCCTCAAATGGACACAGGCCGCGGCGGCGTGGACAACGAATCCTGTCCAAAATGAACAGGAACTGCTGTTGGGCATTGTACCCGGTCCGTACCCATTTCGGGCGTCCAGAGTGGAGTAAACGCCCAGGGCCGTTGAGCAAACGCCAATTGTCTGGTCCGAGTGGTCCTTCCTCCCTTGGAGACAGACCCCGAGGGGCCCCCAGAGGCCGCCCTCGGAGTCTAATGATGGTGATCGTGATGATGCTTATGAAGATGATGAGGATGGCAATGACAAGGACAATGGTGATGATGATGCTGATGATGAGAATGATGACGATGATCATAATGGTGATGACGACCCTGCGGTGATGCTGGTGATGGTGATGGTGACGACGACGATGACGATGAAGAGGAATCCACAAAAAAAACAATATGATGATGATGGTGGTGATGGTGATGATGGTGGTGATGATGATGCTGGTGATGATGATGATGTGGGTGATGCTGATGATGGTGATGGTGGCGTCGATGACGACGATGAAGCAGTATGATTGACATAGGATGATGCTGCTGCTGATAGTGGTTGTGATGAAGTGGATGATGCTGCTGCTGATGATGATGATGAGGCTGATGATGATGATGATGATGATGATGATGATGATGATGCGGATGGTGGTGATCATGACCATGCTGCTGATGAGCATGATGAGGATGATGATGTTGCTGATGATGATGCCGATGTGGATGTGGATGCGGATGATGATGATGATGATGATGATGATGATGATGATGATGATGATGATGATGATGATGATATGGTGCTGCTGATGATGAGGATGATGATGATGATAACAATGCTGGTGATGGTGATGACGATGATGAAGTGGGTGATGATGAAAAGGATAATGATGATGCTGATGCTGAGGCTGCTGATGAAGATGAGGATGATGATAATGCTGATGATGATGCTGCTAATGATGTCGGCGATGCTGATGATGATGACGATGATGATGAGGAGGAGGAGGAGGAGGAGGAGGAGGAGGAAGAAGGGGAAGATGAGGAGGAGGATGAGGATGACGTGTTATGGTGGGGTCCTGGGCCGCCTCCCGTGCGCCGGAAGGCGTGCCGCCTGGGGACGGCCAGCGGGGGGCGGAGGAGCAGCCGCAGCAACGGCCCAGGGGAGCCCTCGGTTCTGCCCACCTCGCACAAGCGAGCCCGAAGGGGCACGCCTTCTCTGGTGCGCTGGTGCACTCCTGAGTCCACAAGTCCACTCTGGGGGCAGAAAGGGACAAAGAGTTAGAGATGCCTAAAGGCAAAGGGGGGCGCCTACGGAGAAGGAGGCAGGCCGAGAGGAGGGAGGGCGAGAGGGAAAGAGAAGAGTAGGCGATCCCGATGCTTTGCCACGGGCGCGATACTCCCAAGCGGCTCCCGAGGTGGCCCGGACTCGGACGCCGTGATCCGCCACCGCCGCAGCCCGCCCAGAGCTCGACACCGAGACCATCAGCGTATGTGTTCGATTGGGTTGGCAATTCCTACGCGTCCCCCGTGGAAACAGACAGGTACACCTCGGTTGGAAGTAGGTAGAAACATGAAGTAGGAAGGCGGATATAGTAGATTGGGTCCAGGTCCTCCCAGAGAATAACAAAACACAGCAAAAGCATGCCGATTCTCGAAGTAGGAAGGCGCTCGAAGCAGATTGGGATCTGGGAGTCCAGAAATACCTACTTTCAACGACCGGCGTGTACATGTTCGGTTGGGTTCGCACGTGGAGAGAGACAGGTACCAATACCGCCACTCCCTGGACCTCGACCGGGACGCCTGCTGACTAAGACGTCGGGGCCCATGCAGCCGTGGCGGCGAGGGCATCCCAGGCCCCCCGAAGAAGGCGGACACAAGGGAGAGCAACGGCACGGCCAGGCTTATGTTGCTCTCACCGTACTTGAGGACCACATCCCAGAAATAATTTCGAGCACCCAGAGAAGTGTCGAAAGAGTGTCGAATCCCTCAAGTTTTGGGGTGTTTTGCTGGTGCTCGAAATTCATTCTGGTGATCATGGCTAAAGTAGGTGGGAACATCATGAGGCCAGACCTAGGGCAGAATAACATCCTTCACGAACACGCGAGGCAGCCAAACTGCAAAACCTAGAACAGAGAAGACCCTCCGCCAGCCAAACTGAAGAACATTCGAGGGTACCCTCCCCCAGGACACACCAGAACATCCACTCAAGACGAAGAACCGTAGGGTACCCTGCCCGAATCGACCTCGATCTCATACTTCGGTCCGGCCGTATCGGTGCCTTTCCAAAGGGCCTCTCTAAAACTTCTGGTCGCCACGGCTGCCCTCCGCCTGAGATCCTGGCCGGAAAACACCCCAGGAGAGGTGCAGGGGTCGACTTTGTAAGGCCTGAGGCCAAGGCCGCCGACTGGAACGCCCAGAACGGGCACGGAAAACATGGGTACAACGCCCAGCAAGAAGCGCCGTCCAGAACCGACAACGGCCGCTGTTGGGCAGGCGGCGTTTCTGCCTGACGGCGGGGGCGACGCCGAGATGGACACCGGCGGCGGCGGACGGACGACGCCGTCGGCGACGAGGACGACGGCCTCGATGAGCCCAAACATGCGACGTCCGGATTTTCTCAATACCGGGTCCCTGGAAGACCCGACCCTTTCCCCGGCACGGGCTTTTCCTCCTGAGTCGTTTTTTGACGGCCCCGAGGCCCGGCGATAGGGCCCCACTACATGGTAGGCCGAAAATGGCCAAAAACCTCCCGCCCTCATTTTTTCCTATCATCCTGTGGTGATGGGTCCTCGTTTTGAAGAGACGGCGCCCCGCGTTCCCGCCTCCCGCCTCCTCCCCCCCCCTCCTCCCCATCCGCCTCGTCACCTCCCTGCGTTTCACCCACCTAGGACAGCGCTTCGTGGCCCCATAGGGAGCTCCACCGAAGGCTCCAGTGGCACATGCCTCATGCGTCAACGCCACCCAGGACAGCGCTTCGTGGCCCCATAGGGAGCTCCACCGAAGGCTCCTGTGGCTCAGGCCGCATGCGTCAACGCCACCCAGGACAGCGCTTCGTGGCCCCATAGGGAGCCCCACCAAAGGCTCCAGTGACACATGCCGCATGCGTCAACGCCACCCAGGACAGCGCTTCGTGGCCCCACACGGAGCTCCACCGAAGGCTCCATTGGCACAGGCCGCATGCGTCAACGCCACCCAGGACAGCGCTTCGTGGCCCCATAGGGAGTTCCACCGAAGGCTCCAGTGGCACAGGCCGCATGCGTCAACGCCACCCAGGACAGCGCTTCGTGGCCCCATACGGAGCACTACCGAAGGCTCCAGTGGCGTTGTCCACATGCGACCGCGCCACCGATTTCGGCGCACCCCTCGCGCGCTTCGTGGCCCCATAGGGAGCTCCACCGAAACCGGTACCCTCAATGCGGCACTCGCAACTGCATATGGTTGGGTCCTTCGTCAGGCTAGTTTTCTACGACGCGGTCATGTCAGGGAAAACGGCGGCGGCGACGATGACTTGAGCAGGGACCGACCGTCCCGGCAATCCGATAGGCCTAGAACAATATAAATGTTCTTAGAACAGAACCCGCTGTGCTAAAACAATGCAGTCTCAGCCAAACATGTTCTAATAACATTTCGTGCCAAACATGTTCTAAGAACATTCTTTGGCGGCCTACAGGCGCGCCACGACGCTCGCCACTGCTTGAGAGGACGACGGGCTTGATGTGGGCGGCGCCACCGCCAGGGCCAACGCCACGCTCGCGGCGGCCGCGGCCGCCCGCGCCGACAGCCGGGC